AATATTGTGCCATTGTCTAAAAAGGCTGCAAGGAAAAGCCAGGGAACTATAGATCGGTGAGCCTGACATCAGTGGTGGTTAAGTTGTTGGAGGGGATTCTGAAAGATAGGACTTGCATGAATTTGGAAAGGCAAGGACTGATTAGGGATAGTCAGCATGGCTTTGTGCATGGGAAATCATGTCTCACAAACTTGATTGAAATTTTTGAAGAGGTTTTTGTCAATACCATAGATCATACTTACACTGAGTCGGTTTTAATTAATATGATAATATGTTGGAATATTCAAAAAATAAAGTATTTCTAGCAATGCTTAGATTTTAATGTCACATACTCAAGAATACGGAATGGCCTGGACAGGGTAGATGTTGGGAAGAAGCTTCCATTGGTAGGAGAGACTAGGACCCAAGGGCACAGCCAGTAAAGGGAAGACCTTTTAGAACGGAGATAAGGAGAAACTTCTTCAGCTAGAGTGGTGAATCTATGGAATTCACTGCCACAGAAGGCTGTGGAGGTCAGGTCATTGAGTACATTTAAGACTGACATAGATAGGTTCTTGATTATCAAGGGGATCAAGGGTTACGGGGAGAAAGCAGGAGAATGGGGTTGAGGAACTTATCAGCCATGATTGAACGGAGGAGCAGACTCGATGGGCCGAATGGCCTAATTTCTGCTCCTATGTCTTATGGGTTACCATTAAGATAGATGAAAGCAGAGGGTAGATGTTGTCAACATGGACATTAGCAAGGCTATCTACAGGTCTCAAGATAAACTGGTTAGCAAGGTTAGATCATATGGGACCCAAGGAGAGTTAGCCAATTGGACACAAAATTGACTTGAAGGTAGGAGGCAGAGGATGGTGGTAGAGGATTGTTATTCAGACTGGAGGCCTGAAACCAGTAGTATACTGCAAGGATCGGTTCTGGCTCCGGCTCCACTACTTTTTGTCATTTTCAATGATTTGAATGAGGACATACACGAGGTATTGTTAGTAAATTTGAACATGACACCAAAATTAGTGGTATAAATAACCTTCTTCACAGTCCACTAAGAGTACAGTGAGCTGTAAAGTGGCATATGGAGTATAGTTAAATGAAGCGTTGCATTTTGGTTAGACAAACCAGGACAGGACTTGCACAGTTAACAGTAGGGCCCTGGGGAGTACTGTATTATATTTGAAGGATATCATTGTAGAATCCAGGACAATGTTGGAGAGCTAAATCACTACTGAATTGTTTCAATGAATTAACAAGTGAAAATATTTTAGAAAAAAGTATTTTTATTCCATATATGTTACAAAATCATTTAGTCAGCTCCATTTATTTTTAAAGAACATTTCTACTGGCTACTTTATACTATCCAATGAGAGATACCAAACTAAACCCTACATACATGCAATTAATCACTACATTTAATATGTTTTGATAAAAATCTTGTTGATAAATTCTCTTTTCAGTGAAATACATTTAGAGGGACAGGGATGGTCAATTTGTGACAAACTGCTTTCATTTAGGTTGAAATATTCAAAGCCAGACACTGGATTTTAATTTTAATAAAACTTGCTTCTGCTTTTGTCAATACTATGGATGATACTTACACTGAGTCAGTTATAATTAATGGCACTCTTCAGGATCAATGTTTGCAATAACTTTCAAAAGTACATCTTCCATCAACTTTTTCCTGTAAAAGTCACTAGAAAACAAAGCAAGCCAAGCATAGAAACACTAACTGACAGTGACAAAAGGCAAAAGCTTGTTGAAAACAATGCAAAACGACGTCAGCCGAAAAATCACAGCAAGTTGCGGAAGATTATGAAAAGTCCACTGGCCATTTTGTTTTAACCATATTAGTTCAGTGAGTGTTGCAAAATTGAGATTTTGTATTCTCAATATCATACCTTCATCAATATGATTACATTTGCTAGATTACACAGTGTAGCTCAAACATGCACAAAAGAAAAATTAAGATTAATTCTGAGACAAAATTGTTTCAAAAAATATCAGGGGTGAATATTCTGAAGGTGGTTCACTGAGAAGTCACATTTTTCCAGTATTTAAGTAATTGAAAATGTAGGAAAAAAATCAAGAGTAAAAAGACTAGTAATAGAGATCAGTTTTAGAATGTAATGCAAGTGAAATTAAATTTAATAACTGAAATTTTTAAAATTATAGATGAATTTCAGAATGGGCTCTATGACCCCTAACTCAAAAACATGGTAGGAAATTTCCACTGAATTTTAGGCAATTGTAAATACGAAAGTATAATTATCTTTAGTTTTTAATGCATTAAACTCCCGCCCCCACCCCTGATGCATACATGCATCATCAAAACACTGCACACAGGGTTTCTTAGTTCTCTCCAATGTGTCAATGCTAAAACGATAAGCAATCCAGTACGTTACTCAAATACTATTCAACTGGACTTGCATTTCTATTTAGAAAACTAAGTGGGGAAAAAAAGCAAACATATTTCCAAAACAAATTCATAGAACAAGGTCTCACCGAAATACACAGGAGTTGGATCTTGCTCTCATTAGAATACATTTCCTCATATCTCTCAAATAGTACAAAGCTTGAACTGAAACTAATTATTTGACACAGATTCCAACATAGGTAAATATCTGGACTCTGTAGTGCTACAATCTCTCTTTTCATTGTTGAAACTAGCACCAGAGTTTTTCTTGTTTTAAAAGGTGAGATTTAACAAGGTTCCCAAAAATACAAAATTTCAGAGTGGACTCAGTTAAATCATTTGTACATAGATGGATGCTGAAACATTATGCTCATCATTCTCCTAAAATACAAGTTATTGAATAAATTACAACATGTCAAATACTACATCAGAAATACTTGCCAAGACAACTGACCAAAATATATTCAATCACAATCTGAAAATTATTTGAAAGGCAATCCTAATTTTTTGCAAAAGGAGTGAAGTTTAAAAAAAAAAAGGCTTAGTATACATTGCATAAATCAATCCTAGATAACATTGTTAGGTTAACACATTAAAACAAGTTTGCTTTGATTTACAAACCTGATGCTTTTGTTGAAATTTTACTCAAAATCAAAGTGGAAATGCTCATATTGGCAGTTTGTTCTTTTTCCATATATGGTCTACATGTTAAGAGATTCTCCAAACATTTCAGCACGTGTGAGAAAACATTTCCTGGCTGCCCAGTTTTAAAAATCAAAAATAGTTTCAGAAATAAAATTCAATGAGAAGATAGCAATGATTTTCATTTAAATACTATTAACCCAAGAAGTCTCAAGATGTTACATGAGAATTTCACATTTAACACTATGCCACATGAGGGGATATTAGGACAGGCAAACAGAAACAGGTTTTAAAGTAACACCTCAAAAGGAGGAAAGAGACAGAGAAACAGATTGACTTAGCAAAAGTATCAGCAAATAAATGAAGCCAGATTTTTGCAGCATCATGGCACTCTGCACTATCCAAATTGTACTGCAACCCCTAATCCAAAAATCTATTTCTGACCGATCCTAATTTCACAAACTGGGGGAATGGGAGCAAGCTATGACTGACAAATGGGGAAAAAAGGAGAGTGCCTGAACTCCGGGCTGAGTTCAAATAGCCCTGTTGAAACCTAGTAGGGCTAACTGAACTCAGCACTGAGTTCAAAGAGGCCCCTTATTTGCTGGGATGAGCTTCATTTCTCAAAGCAAATCTGTTACAATTTTTTAAAGAATGGACTTCTCTGCAAGGAGAGATTTACAAAAAAAGCATACACTGAATTGCCTGTAAAAGGCAGGTGTGGTCTTTGTAGGGCTGTGAATACTAACATTTGCTTTTAAAGGGATTAAATAAGAGAGGTTTTAAATGCTTGTTGACATAATTGCAAGGACTACCATTATAGTACTATTAGTGCTTGACTACTTTCCACAATCTGTCACCATCACACAGAGGGCAGAACTGTCTGTAAATTCAAAGTTTAATTGACAATCATAAGAGAATATTCAGCAATAAGCTATCTTTGATGTGGTGCCTTGAATAGAAAATGTTTGAATTTAATAAGGGATTAAGCACTTAAGAGGATTCAGATATACTTTTACCAATGGGTGTTTTCTTATACAGAAAGAACTGTAAAGAAAATTAGTCTTGGAACCAAGCTGAGATGAAATAAAGTTCTGTCTGTGGTCGATACTGGGTGGATGCAAGAATAAAGTATGGCAGATGGAGGCATGGGTTGACCTGAGTTTGCATTAAAATGGCATAGGGGTGTAAAGGGCCATCAGGATGATGTTGGAATGATTAGCATTAAGGATTTGAAGGACCATAGGGGTGTTAGAGGGCCACAAACTGGCATTTGTTTGGGATGAGGCAATAAAAGGAGCCAAGAGTGATCATGAACCTAATATATCAATGTCTTCCAGCAGAGAATGATCTTTTCAACAGCCCACCTCAGCATGTGGTAGCCTCTGTAGCTACCTCCTCAGCAGGCCTGACTCTGCAGCCCACTCCACTCCCAATGAACAAGTGACAGACTAAACAAAAGATTGAATAAGTGATTAAAGGCATTTGAAAAAGATTAATGCAGCAACTGAAGATTACCTACTTAAAGATAAGATAGAAAACAAGAATTCACCCATCAAGTTTTTCCTGGTCAAACATTTGGGTTTAAGAAATTACAGGTGTATCTGATGGCACTAAACTGCAAAAAAGTGGTATTGCAGTCTCAAATAAGTAGCTAGAGACTGTACTAATTAAAAGCCACAAGCGTTCTGACACTCAGCTGCTGTGACGCATACAACACAGCACCATGTTTGGCACTGAACTGGTTCCCATCCATCCCGTATTTTAAATACAAGGCAATGCTTTACCCAAATTTACAAGTACTAAGTTAGGAGACTGCAAATATTTGAAATAACTTTCTTCATAAAAATAGCCTTTGGTAAAGATTAAATTCTTCAGCAAATGTAATTCGATCATGCCAATAACAAAGATTTTAAGTAGTTTCAAAATAAATCACCATCAGACCAGATTAATAACCAATTGTTTATTGTGCAATATCCATCTGATCCACCATTATCGATAGTTTCGGTTCAAGATTTTGTACTCTACATGAAGTAAGTTTTATCTGGTTGTAGTAAGTTTTCATCAAAACAGTTGCACACATATTTACAAAATTCACAGTGCCTTATCAGCTCAATTTTTTTTTCCTATCCCACACAAGCTAAACAAAAGGTACTCTCCTCTCCCACAGAATAGAAGAGCTACTCCAAAGAAAGAAAGGAAATGCAATGTGGGTTTCAGACTATGACAACACTAAACTGTACAATCATTACATAAACATGGCAGTATCAGTGGATATGCTAGTTGCACATTAGCACAAATGGACCCTTCCTCCCACTGTACCAATGGCAACTCATACTACAGGCAATGATAAACAGAGGTCTACAGGTAATCGTTGCTTTTCATTTTTGAACACTATTACAGCATTGGCTCCGGTCTGGGGAAACTGATTCACAATATCTCAAGTTGAAGTAGAAAAGTAATCAAAATAAGGCACAATGAATATTACCTACATTTTAATAAATGGAGGGGAACTAGACTTCAGTGTTACATCATTGCAGAGAAGTATAATTGCGTAACATTCAGTGGGAATAAACCACACAAAATTTTGAAACTGAGCCAGCACAGTTAGCAGTACCCCTCTTACCTTTGATTACTAGATACTGATTTACTGCAGTTTTACAAAGGAAAAAAAGCCTTTAAAACTGCATTGTGCAGAGTATTCAAAATTCAAATCTGAACCCTAGCTGTTAGTAGTGCAAACTACTCACTGCTTTACAGTAAAAGCAAGATCACTGGTGATTGTAATGTTGCTGTACATAAAAAAATTGCACAAAACAAGGATCCCAAGATGAAGAAGCCTCGTTCTATTACACCCAGTTTAAAGAATATTTAAATATTAGTGATGTCAGATGGCTTAAGCCCATCTCACTTCTACCGGCAAACAAAAAGGCCCAAGATAAATCAACTCCTGGGTATTCATTTTTTGCTAACATGGACATAACCATACCTGACTTATACAATAACTGCAAAATAATGTTGGCAGCATATACTGGACATTTTAATTAAAATCTTCACACAAGGGTATTCATCACTTTTTACAAAATATATTTTGCATTCAATTATTTGTAGCTTGTGAAGAAAAAGCTGCAGAAATTTGAGTAAAATGGGTTGCAGCACGGAAGGCCCTCACTTTGGTTGCTAAACAGTTTTAGTCCTGCTTCGAATGCTCCTTAACATCTTCTTCATCTGTATATTCTGATGGCTCATCCCATGGCTTCAGCAGCCGACCAATGTAGTCATATTTTTCTGCAAGTTAAATAGCCACAGATTAACATCATGCTTTTTAAAAATTCAGTTATATCTTTTTGTCACAAAATTGGCATGCATTGGCAAAATAAGTTAAGATGTTTTAATGGCTGCCTTTTAGGAATATAGACATTATTCGACGACATCTTTTAATTTGAGTGGACTACCACAAAATGGCACCAGAAACCACAGGGAGGGGTAGAGCAGGAAAGGAGTGAGGAGCAAAGGGGGGGGGCGGGAAGGAGTGGACGGGTAGGAGGCAGGGAGGAATTGGGAACAAAGCAGATTATCTGGTTATTATAATGTTGCTGTTTATTCAGTTTGCTGTGCACAAACTGACTGCCACGTGGCAGCATACATTACAATTTAAAAAGTACTTCATTGGCAGTTTCATTTCGCCTACCCTTTCCCATTGCCCTGCAGGTTTCTCTACACAAGAGTTCACCCAATTCCTTTTTGAATACCTTGAATGATCCTGCCTCCATCATGCTCTCAGCCAGTACATTCCAGATTCAAAACTCACTGCGCAAGGACCACTTTACTGATGCTATTATTGGTTCTTTTGCCAATTATTTATAATCTGTCTCCTCTGGTTCTCAATAGTTCTACCAATGGGAATAGTTTCTTGTGGCAGGGGAGTCCAAAATTGAAGGGCATAGGTTTAAGGTGAGACGGGAAAGATTTAAAAGGGACCCAAGGGACAACCTTTTCATGCAGATGGTGGTGCATGTATGGAATGGGCTGCCAGAGGAAGTGATAGAGGAGAATACAATTACACCATGTAGAAGCCATATGGATAGGCATATGAATAGGAAGAGTTTAGACAGAGATGGGCCAAATGCTGGCGAATGGAATTAGATCAGTTTAGGATATCTGGTCAGCGTGGATAAGTTGGACTGAAGTCTGTTTCTGTGCTGTATAACTGACTGTAAAGCACTGAGACAAACTGCAGATCTGAAAAATGTTACTTCAATACAAGTCTTCTGTCCTTTTTTTTTTAAAAAGAAAAGCTGGTGTAGAGCAAATGTAGGTAATCAAGTAGCTCTTCACGGATAGTTGAATATACCTGAGATGCTTCATGTGTGGCTTGACTTTTCTGCTTTTTCCTTTCCTAATCCTGTTTTCCGATTTACTGTCCATTAATGAATTCTCAAATCCATGCTTTAACACCAGAAGTCCCAATTTTGTGCAATAACTTGTGTACAATAACCACTAATGCTTTTTAAGATACTGAATTACTCTGCTACCAGTGGATCCCCTTGACCATTTTCCTGATTACTTTCTTTAAAATTCGAAATTATATTTTCCCCCTAAAATTTCCCTTCCTGGTGTTCATTCTACTTAAGCACACTATGCTTCTCTAAGTGAATGTAGCATATTACATCCAAACAACAGCCTTGAGAATTTTGCCTACCGCCAATGTTAGTTTAACTGTTTATAATTGCCTGCTTTCTCTTCTTTTTTCTTAAAGATGGACTGAGGTTGCTACCTTCTAGAATCTATGAAATTCTAGAAGACGGAAGCCAATGAATCCAGTAACATTGCAGCTGACTTAGAAAACTCATCAGGTCCACGGGATTTATCCCATTAATTTCTCCAGTGCTGATAACTTTTTTTTTTAAACTTTATACTTACTAGACCCCGAGATCTTCATTATTTTTGGATTTTCTACCATAAAGATAATAAAATTTGTTAAATGTTTTGCACTATTTTGCATTATACAGTAATTACATCCATCTTCAATGAGCCTACATTTCTTTTTAGTAATTTCTTCACAATAAGGAATCTTTTTTGCATGAATCTTGATGGATTGTTCTCATTTTCTTTCCTCATCGATTTCTTGGTCCTCCTTTGCTTGAATTTGAAATCTGCCTAACCGTTAGGGTTACTACTGGTTTTGGTAATATTATATACTTCTAACTTTACCTAATACTACCTAAAATCCATTTGGCACTCATGACCAATTTTTTCCAATGTGTCTTTGTGCCATAAAAGGAGTGTATACTGATTGCAAAATATATACTAATTCTTTAAAATGGTAACCTATTACTTGCCTCCTGTCATCTTTTAACAGTTTCTTAATCTACTCTAACTAATTCACCCTTAACCTTGTGTCACATGCTTTGTTTAGATTTAAGACCTTAGGTGTGGGCTCCACTAAATCAGGTAATAACGCAATAAAATTCTATAATATTTTCATCACCTATCCCTAACTCTTTACTACAGGGTTATTAACCTAACCATTTCTTATTCAAACAAAAAAGGTAAGTAACTCACCTCTTTATTCATAACCAAAGTACAAGCCAGAAGTCTGACAGAACACATCTTATGGCTTTAATAATCAACCTCCACCGCTTGTTGTACAGTTGCCTACAACCTTCAAGAACCCACCAAGGTTCCTTCAATAGTACCTTACAAACTGTCAACCGCTACCACCTAGAAGAAAAAGTGCAACATATGCACGGCAACACTATCATGTACAAATCCTCCTCTAAATCACACATGGCCATGACTTGTCATGTGCTGGTCTTTAACTGTTGGTGAGTTAAAAATCGTGGAACTCCCTTCCCAACAGCATTGTGCATGAACTTACCCTGGCATGGAGAGCAGCATGAACTTCAAAAGGAAGTTTACCACCACACCACCTTCTGAATGACAATGAGGGATAAGCCAAAAACAAAACACTGGTCCAGCCAATGACATTTATCCCAAGGCAGATTAAAACCTTCATTTAAAACAAAGGCCCGAAATGACTTGTTCTCTAATTGGTTTCTCAACTTTATATGATCTTAAAAAAACTTGTACACATTCCATGAACTTTAAGTGATGTTTAACCTTCCCCATGTACTGCAAAGCAGTATACTGCAGATACCAGAAATCTGAAATAAAAACAGAAAAGTTGAAAATATTCAGCGGTTATGACAGCTTGTGGGGGGAAAAAAACCATAACATTTCAGGTCTGTGACCTTTAATCAGAACTGGAGAAATTAGAGATCTAATATGTTTTGAGCAGGGCAGAGTGGACAAGGACAATGAGATCAAAAGGTCGGTGATAAGGTGGAAGCCAGGAGAGACTGAATGACAAAAGTTTGTCCTCCAGGGCCAAGGGAATGGTAATGGACAAAAGAAAAGTGAAACAAAGAAACAAAATGATAGACTGTTGATTGGGGGAAAAAAATCAAAACAAGCAAAAGGAAACAAAACACTAGGACCTCAAAATGGAACAGTGGTGCAGTAAGTCAAGGACATCAGCATCAACATGAGAGCAAAAGGAAGAATTACCAGACGCTTGTGAACTGAACTGAGGTATCCCCAAAGTGATCATCCAGTATGTGTTTTGTCATCCCAGTGTACAGCAGACCACACCACATTTGGGTAGGGAAGGGTATTGGAGTGATCAGTGTGGGAAATGGTGGACAGTGATCTACTGAATAAGGAGACTAGTGGAATGGAAGGTGAGGACAGGGGAATCATATTGTGGTTCTAAGAGGGAGGGACAAGGGTAAAACAGAAGTATAGGCCATGAGTCAGAGTCATACAGCACAGAAACAGACCCTTCAGTCCAACTAGTCCATGCTGACCTTAATCCCAAACTAAACTAGTCCCACCTGACTGGGCTTGGCCCATATCCCTTCAAAAATTTCTTATTCATGCATCCAAAATGTCTTTTAAACGTTGTAACCGTACCCAACTGCTGCAAACCTCATTCCACACATGAACCACTCTCCTTAAAAACAAAATTGCTTTGTGTCTTTTTAAAATCTGTCTTCTCTCACCTTAAAAATATGCCCCCAGTCTCAAAATCCCTCACCCTAGGGAAAAGACACCTGCCATTCACCCTATCTTATACCTATTAAGATTTTAAAAACATTTATAAAGTCACCCCTCAATCTGCTATGTGCCAGTGAAAAAGGTCCCAGCCTATCCAGCCTCTCTTTATAAAACTTAAACCCTCCAATTCCAGCAACATCCTGGTAGATCTCTTCTGAATCCTCTCCAGCTTAATGATATCCTTCCTATAAACAAGGTGACCAGAACTGAACACTACTGTAGAAGGCTCACCAACATGTTGTACAACCTTAACATAACATTCCAACACTTGTACTCAAATGGTCTTAGCAATGAACGTAATGGCATGCTAAATACCTTAACCACCTTATTTATATGTGAGGCAAAATCAATTTATGTACCTGAACCCCTAGATCTCTGTTCTACAACACTACCCAAGGCCCTAATCTTAAATTGTACAAGTCCTGCCCTTGTTTGTTTTACCAAAATGCACTACCTCAGATTCATCCAAATTAAACTCCATTTGCTACTCTTCAGCCGAATGACCCAACTAATCAAGATCTCTTCGTAATCTTAGATAATATGATGGAAGGTTAGTCAGTCAAGGGCTACTTCTAAACCACAATATGGTAGCATTTCCTTAAATGAGGGGGAAAAAAAAAAAAAAAATGACATTTTGAAAGCAGAACATGCCTTCTGCACCTTGATACCTCCCAGGAATTTGCTCCAAAAATAATTTCAGATTAAACTTTCATAATTCCTCAAGTTTTCTTTGAACTATAAAAATTAAATCAAATTTTATTATAATTTACAATGAAACAGCACAAAAACAAAAACAGCAATCGGCATTTTAAACAAAACACTTACTACACAAGCCTTCATGACTTTCTATAATGGATGCTACTGCCAAATGCAGCAGTGTAAGATATTCAATACTTGCCCATGAACTGCATCTCCCATTCTCTAACACTTTCCATTTGTACGGCATTTAAATCGGACAGATCATCAAATTCATCCCTCAGAGCTTCTTTATCAAGACAGAAAGTAGCCAATCCTCTCGAGGCATCTCGGCCAGCAAATATGCCATAGGGACCATCTAGTTAAAAAAAAATTCAGAAACAGAACAAACTTATTGAATTGGCAAAGGACAACTGAAAATTGATTTCATCCCAAGCTTCTAAAAACAGTAGCTCATGAAAAAAACAAGATTATGTAATCACAAATAATTCCCCTAGGCAATTTAGTAAATAAGTTGCTACTCATAACTATTTTGAATATAAAAAAGCCATTAAATGTAACAGGCTTTAAGTAAAACCATCCCCACACATTTGCATCTTCAAATCCTTTATTTCATTTGAAGCACAGATCATTCCTCAAACTCACTTTTACAGTTTGTAGATTTAACTTTTCTTGAATAGTCCATATTTTGCTTCATTATTTAACCAGAAAGTATTAATAATATTGTTCTTTTGTTTAATTTAACTGGAATATAGAATACAGGAATACCAGCCTAGTGACCCAATTCCTGTAGAATATTCTTTTTATTGAGAAGGAGATCTAAAACCTGAAAAGCATTCAGGAATACTGAAAAGACCAAGTTTAACAACAGCACAATGTTTGAAATAAAAATCGAAGTTGCAAAGGGCAGACCAATTGCAGTTTATTGACAGTAGGCTTGGGTACAAGGTCTGAAGAGTAAAAGGTTTGAGAATAGGAATTTAACAAATCTCAAGTGTCAATGTAGTATTTTGGTCTTCTAGTTGAGAAGCAAGCTTGTTTATCATAACACCAACAATCAGCTCCTGTAACAGACTGTTGCTTGATCTACAAAACAATGTCTCGGTTAAGCATTCGCACAAAGCAAAACTGAAGATTATCAGCTCCAAAACAATACAATTCATTAAAAAAAATCTGAAAATTAAGACTGAATATTAAAGCAATGCAATGGAAAAGTTCCATGGGCAAAATGCAAGAAAGAAATCCCACCTTGCCTCAACAGGATATCGGGTACATTCTCAACCAGAATCTATCCAGTCTCCAACATGCATATAGAGTTGTAACGCACAGAATTCATCCCCACATCAATCTTCCAAAACTCAAACTAGTCTGAGCTGTAACAGACACATTTTGCTATGATGAGCAAAACTGGCTGTCAGGAGGATCACTGCAGAAATTGAGCAGTTTTCTCAGCCCAACCATTTTCAACAATCAACTTCATACTTGAGTACAGAAATTGGGTTGTTCATGACCACTCAAGGACTGCAATTATGAAGCAGCTTATTTAAACCTGCAGGACAGTTTGAATAACACTTGAGCTAATAAATGGCTGACTACATTTGTGCATTATCTACCAACAGCCAAACTGGGCCAGCCATAAGAAGACATGGCTTCAACTTGAGCATTCTACAAACATGTGGCTCACCTCAAGACCTCAGAACTTTTCCTATCATCTACAAAGTGTGTCTGATGGACATCATTTCAAGTCATCACCAAAATGCTGACATGACATTTCCAATAGAGTATATCATATGTTCCAACATGACGTCACTGAAATTGTGCATATGCAGAAAAAGTTGCTTTTAAAGTCAAAATATGACAAAAGATTAAGGAGAAGAGTCAAAGTTTTGAACTGTTATTTTTCTAGATGATATTAAATTGATGCAAGAAAACAGGGTTGAATCAGCTCTGAATAGAGGTGGTTATTATGGTTTGAGGGGGTCTAAGAAGTCAGGGAAGATGTAGTTTTCAGGTAGGTGACTATCTGAGTCTGAGGATCAGTTTAAACCTACTCAGGAGTTTCAGTAGGTTTTAAAACCTCTAACTTGCTCTGGGTAACTATCAAACGTGATTCAAAATCTTCAGAATTCTGACTTGAATGGAATCTTTTGGAGGGTTCCAAACGTGGGGGGAAAGAGTGCCCACTGGAAAATTCAATTTCTCAGGCTATTCTTAGAGTCGGTTGTGTTTGGAATATGTAGAATCACCACAAATTCAATTTATACAGCTCCAGCAAATCCCTGGCCATCAGGATATCCGGTTCATTAAACACCATTCTTTGGAATTGTTTCAAATGAATGGATCATATCCCTTTTCCAATATTTTGAAGTGTTTTTCAGCGATATTTTAAAGTCCAGGAACTACACTAGCAAATTCTGTCCAAACACTGAATCATTTAAGGGAAGACAGGGATCTCAAAACCTTGCAGTGTTGCACCTCACTGGGGTGACATGCTGAAATCAAGCCATGCTATTCTCAGTCACCATAAAAAGTTTTTAAAAAATGTAGGCAAAGTTACCACTTTACTTGTCACAGACCCACATTAACGGAAAACAAAGCAGATTTTGATACTTAAGTATTATTTATTACAATTAAATAGATTCTAATCACAGTTAAACCATGAACTGAACTGTTGACATAACTACCAATTAAAACTAATTCCCCTTCCAAAAACTTCCCAACACACAGACAGACAAAAGAAACATTGGTTTTATGGGTGATGTGGTAAAACAACTGGGTGAACAGTTCAATAACACTATTCCACAGAGTTTGCTGAGATAATCCATTTGCTTCTCAGGACTTTGTCCTTCAATCTAATTTCTGCAATTTCTTTTCACTTCTTTGCAGGAGGCACTCCAATTGGTGCATTGAATACAAATGCTTCTAGTTACTGGTTAAAGGCCTATAGCAAAAAGAGTGGGAGAAAATAACGGGTTTGCTTCAGATTTCAGATATTTTCACTGGAGAGGAATACAACTTGCCCTTCCAGAGGTCCAAAGGCTGTTCACATGCACAAGCTGTTGAGCTACCCAAAAACCAGATCTGTCATCAGGCTGATGACCTTTGGTACCCACACAGCTAGGTCACGATTCCAATTGGCTGTTGGTGTCCAAATCTCACGAAGTACACACCCTTGTGTTAAATTACACAAGCTACCTTTAAATTCAGCTACTCAAGAAATCTCAAATACTGAAACAATACTTAAACTTTATTTCATGTAGCAACTAAAATAAGACCCCTCAAATCAACGAATTAAGCTTCAAAACTCAACTTAGCTATTACCTAATTACTGGGAGAATTTAGCTACGATTGCAACCAACCGAACTGTCTCTAAATATCTAGGCTTCGATCCTTGTGCCAGGTTGTTCAGAGATCTGCTACTCCAGTTGAATTCCTACAGGATTTTCTATCTTGAAGTTTCTGATATGACATTATTGATGGTCCTTTCGATCCATTCATCCACAACACCGATTACATTTCTGGAGTCATCAAGTCTGTAGCTTGCCAGTAAATTCCCTATTCCTTCTTACGTCTGGTAAGAACTGTCTTCTCTCTCCCAGGAAGTGATTTATGTTGCTTTGACCCCTCCTTCCTAGGATTTTTAATTAGCATGTTGCTTTAAATTCCTTTATAACAACTTTTCCTGGTCTCTTTCATTTCAGGAAACAGCATATTCTAGAAAGTTATTGCTGACTCTTTCAATTCCTGAACAGTTATTAAAATTTTGAAGTTTACAGTATCATACTGGTGTCTTGCCTTCTCTTACGCTTTGCTCCATGGCAAAGCAACAACAACAACCCACAAAGGTTTCGGTAACTTTTTTTTTAAGAAAAGGTACAGCAATTTGTTCTTATGTTCTTTGTTGTAAAGTACCCTTTTTCCCATTTCAGTCCACAACCGAAAACAAAGATGATGAAAAGATGTGGTCTTTATAAATACACGTGACTATAACAAAATAAAGTACTTGCAACAAATTAGAATTAACTGAAATACATGCAGTCAGCTGCATATTGGCAATTTGATTTTCAGAAGGATCAAGACAAACAAGTTATTTTCTACTTTTGCTAACGCTCTAACATTTACCATTTCATTTTTCCTAAATTAACATCTGCATTAGTCAGTCATTCTTTTGTTAATCTACTTATTAAATCCAACATGCATCAAAATGACAGTTTCCCCTTGCCAGCTGACCACAGTTTGGAGTTAAGTTCTACCACATGGTAATGACTTACCTGCAATTCCATCAGATTTAAAGCAAAACTGGCCACTTCAGAACTTGCTGATTGAGTAAAACAGTGACGCATCCATCATTGTGGCTTTTCCCCCCCCCCATTAGTCTATCTATTCAATTCATCTTTTAATCAGTGCTTAAAAGTATTACATGATGGCTTCGACTTCTGAAAATTTAAGTCAATTAGAAATAGTGATAGCCTATGATCACAATTTAATTAGCCACTCCATCACAAGTTATTCAATAAGATTCCTACAATATGATACACTTCTGATGTCATGTCAATTGTGCTTTATGCTCTCTAGAACTGAAAATAATCTCTCAAATGCTCAATTGCATTAACCATGTTAAATTTTACAATTCTTCAATTCATGTGCCATTTTTCTTTTTGATAGCGTTGTTTAGATTATTCTTCATTCCATGTGTGCAAATTTGTACACATGTAAGAGCAAGAAATATTGATGAGCACTATCTAATTCCTTGAGGCATCTGGTCCTGTTGCCTTGTAGATATATTTTTTGAATACAACATGCATATTTTCCAGAAAGTTTAAAGCAATGTGATTACATACACGAATTCTTCCAGCATCTTACTGCACATTAACTGCCCACCTGTTGCTCTGCTTTGATGCTTCAACTTGAAGCAAGACACCCCAACCACATTCAGCCGTAGCCTTGACATAGGGATTCTGAGCAGAAGTGGGGCCAATTGCCATGTTTATCTAACTAGGAAGTCTCGATTTTACATTCCTAGAAGTAACAACATAAAAACAAGCTATTCAAGTCAACAGATCCTCCTCCTGTCCTCCCCAAGAAAGATGCATATGCCTTCCTCCCTTGTATGAATATTCAGTTTCACCTTGCATATACGGCAGCCACTCAGAATCAGATTTGCATTTTCAGGTCCGCTATGCAATTAGTTCTGGAACATGGAGTTGTTTTCACCGCAGTCAACCAACAAGTGACAATATATCAGCAATACTGATATACTACACTACTAGGAATAATTTTTTTTTTTTTTTTTTTTAAATACGTGGGTATTGAACTGGATTTTGCTGTGAAAATTGAGAGAATACTTCATATCCAAAT